CCAGCATTGGAGGAGGGCTGGACTCCTGGCTGAGTCACGGCCAGGCTGGGATGGAGGGGGACTTGTCCTGCTGCCATGGGACAGGGCCGCAGCCCATCTGCAGGTGTGTCACAAGGACAGGGGCAGCCCATGGGGTGCTCAGCCTGGCTGCTCCAACCCCGGTGCCGCTACCCATCTCTGCCCCCATGGTGCCTGGGAAGGTGTTTGGGGGACGCAGGCCTTGCAGAGCTGGGCCAGGGCTTGTGGCAGGCCAGTGCCCAGGGGAGGAGCTGAGTGCTTCCTGCCTTGCCCCCTGTGCCCAAAGCTGCTGCAGAGGTCCTGGCTCACCTTCTGCCCTTGCAGCACCTTATTCTGCCCCACGCCTGCCCCCTGCTTTCCCCTCATGCTGCAGCCAGCCCAGGCTGAGTGAGACATGGTGGCCTGGCTGTGGCAGCGTGGGCCACATCTGGTGTGGGACGGGCTCTTGGGGACAGAGCCGCCGTGGCCAGCCCTCCCATCCCTGCCTCCCCTCTCCCGGCCCCAACGGGCATGTTATCAGGAAAGGCGCAGGCAGGAGGTGGAGAGGGAGGAGAGGAACCGCTCAATACCCAGTCGGAGCAGCCATGGAGTTCAAGGTGCCCATGGCAGGGGGACAGTGGCACTCTGCTTGCTCCCCGTGCCTGCCTGCAGCCCAGTGTCCCTCTGCCTCGGGGTGCAACCAGCTCGTCAGAGACCTTCCTGTGCCAGTGCTGCCAGCGGGTTCTGCCACCCTCACCTGCGATCCCAGCCTTTGCCCCGCGGCAGCCGGGGCCTCCCCGAGCCCGTGCCTGTGGAACAGCCGCCGCTGTCAGGACCGTGGGCTAGGCGTGTTGGGCAGGGCTGGGATGCCTGCGGGAGCTGGGTGGCACGCTCACAGTTTCCCTGTCTCCTCAGGACTACGTGGACGCCCTGCTCACCAACTACTGCGTAAGTGCTGGCGCCAGCAGGAGCCGAAGTCAGCCCTGTGCGTGTGTGTCTGCGCCCAGGGTTCCCGGTGCGTGCCCTGCTGCCGCCCTGCTCTGCGCTCCGCAGGGCCAGGCTGCCCTGTCCCCCTGCCTGGGGGGCTGCCACGGGCTCCGCTCAATGCCCTGAATGCGTGGGGGTCCTGCCGAGGCAGGGCCAGGCAGCGGGGGGGGGGGTGGGTGCCTGGCCGCAGCGTCCTTCTCCACCCTGTTCCTCTTTCTCTTTCCAGATCTGGCCACCGGTGCAAATTGCAAACTTCTACTTCGTCCCTCTGAACCACAGGTAGTAAGACAGCCGCAGCCCCGGCCCCGTGGCTCCCCA